TATAGTGTGGTAATATCAATATATAATTCGTTAACACACAATACCATACATTACCATATGGTATAGTGTGGTAATATCAATATATATTTTGTTACCACCGAATACCATATGGTATAGTGTTATAATATCAATATATCTTATCTAAAAGAAAAAAAACAGAAGGAGGTAGAGAAAAAAATCGTCTTGTGTCGCCTCTCATTTCCTCTTCCGCAATCAAGAACACCAATATGCCGAAAAAATGAGAAAGATCGAAATTGAGGCCAACGAGATGATGAAGAGAAGAAATGCAATGAAAAAGAGTGGCTCCAATTTTTATTCGTCATGGAAAAAAAATGAAGAAGAAGAGAAGGGAGCAGATTTAGATCTAGAAATGAGATTGAGAGAGAAAAAGGAAGACAGAAAGAGAGAGGATCTGGAAAAGAGATTGGGAAAGAAAAAGGAAGAGAGAAAGAAGATAGAAAGTTGCAGAGAAGTGATTTCTCTTTCCTTCTTTGAAAGTGCCGCCATTAAATATGAAATAAAATAAAATAAAGAATTTAATGTATAAACGGACAAAAATACGCTTCCCCACTCAGCGTCCGGCCCAACCACACGATTGCCTACCTCTTAGATCTATGGTCCCTATTCATTACTGACATGTGAGTAACCACTTGGTTACTGACCCTATCTGCTGCCCCTCTAACCCTACCACCCCTCTCAATTTATCCACATCTTTCTTATGTTATCATTTAATTGGTTTCTTAGTTATTACATTATCACTAGGTCAATTACTCGGGAGTAGGGTGCTAGCTCCACGTAACATGTTCTTATCGATGTTATTCAAGAGACTGAAAGAGTTCGGTGAAATCAGAACGTATTTTAAAAGCTTTAGGGTGGTGGGTCTGGTCACTGGTGCTTAGGAGTGGTAGTCGGCCGAAAATTCGGTTTAACCGAAAACCGAAAACTCGATTATCGGTTAAACCGAGCCACCCCCTATAGCTGTCGACCACCGACCGTGAGAGGTCACAATTAGCCGGCCAACCGACCGGTCGGTTTCGGTTTTAGGCTCGGTTAGTCGGCCAATCGGAAAACTACCTTTTCTACAAAAAAAAATTAATTAAAAAAAACAAAAAATCTGCACCACTCATCTCAATCCTTATCTCCTCCTCTCTCCTTCCTTCCTCCACCAGACCACTTCTCTTCTCTCTCCTTCCATCCTCCACCATTTCACACCCACCAAACCTTATCTCCTCCTCTCTCCTTCCTTCCTCCACCAGACCACTTCTCGATTCTCTCCTTCCTTCCTCCACCTGCTGCCTGCTGGAGTGCTGGTGGAGGCGGCGGGGCGACGTCGATGATGGTTGCTGCCTGGCTGCCTGACTGCTGCATGACGAGGGTGGAGCTGCTGCCTGCTGGTGGAACGTCGACGATGGTGAAGGCGGCTGGGCGACGAGGTAGAGGGCAGAAGGAGGTGGGTGGAGGCTGCGCGAGAAGGGAGAAGGGGGCTGGAGTGGCGAGGATGGATTTGGGAATGGGGAGGAGGAGGGCAGAGGGAGTCGACAGTCGACAGATTAGGGTTAGTGGGGAATGAAGCGCAGTCGTTTTTGGGGAAAGGGAAGGGGTCGGTTAGCTGGTTAACCGCCGGTTTTCGACCCCGGTTAATCGGCTAGCCGAATCCCTGCCCTTCCCCACCGCCAACCGACCGCTGCATTCAGAACCAATTTTTCGATAGTCGAAAACCGGTCGGTTCGATTAAAACCGTCTGGTTAACAGCTAACCGGAAACCGTTCTGCCACCCCTACTGGTACTGGTCCTGGGCCAAATTTTGTGGCTCAGTTAGGGGAGAAGGAAAAGACGAAAATAAATAACAAAGCCATTTTATTTTTATCGAAACAAAGCCAAATTTCTTTTTGATTCGTAACAGTAATTTATTCCAGTATCCCTTTGGTTTTATTTCGCTTTCATTTCATCCCTCCACGGCCAAGCAAGTCAGCCTAGGCTTCTTATCTCCTCTCCCTCTTTTGGTTCACGCCACAAGCTTATCATCTCAGAAGTCAGAACCTACTCACGTCTCCTGTTCCTTCCTATTATCAGAGACCAACGTTCAAGTCATCTCATACCAACTTAGAGGATAATCCGATCCACCATCGACAACGATGACTAATCCTGTTATTGCCGATAATCCCACAAACAGATAAACGACTGCCAACAAAATGTGTTTCACTGTCACAAATAATAATCGAACTTTGAAACAAGAGAAGGCAGAGAGACTTATGCATTGCACTCAAATTAGGAGAAGAGTGCTATTCCAAGCATTCTCCATTCTCATACTCACTCCAGCATGACAAGTCGAAAGCCTCAACCACAGACAGTCATCACCAGATAAATTGAAACAAGCCAAACCAACAAATAAAAGAGGAGAGGGAAGCAAAAATTATGAATGAATGCTAATGTCTTTTGCTAAGTAGGTCTTGGTCTGACTCAATAGCATCCCATTAAGGATCTGGTTGTTTCTTTCTAGGTGTGGTTTTAGTACAGGTATGAAGAATATGATGATGAGGAAAAGGGGGAAAAGAGAAGGGTTTGGATCGGAATCTTTTCAATTTCCATCTTTCTTTTGTGCAAATAAGAGAGGTGGTGTGGGGAAAAAGGGAGAAGATAGATAGGGAGAGACATGTACAATGACAGCAGAGATTTCGAATTCACAGACCGATCTCTTTCCTAAGATGAAAGATCCATCCCAGCTGTAACTCATGGCTGGATTACAATCTGAGCCACCATATATAAAATATCAGTATCAAATCATTCCCCTCTTTGCTCCTTCCTAAGGGGCGACTCATTAGCTACAAAGGACCCTACCAGACATTTCAATATCACCATTCACCAGACACCAATTAATTCTCCCTCCAGCTGGGAGTATCCCTAAAAGTGAAATTCAATTATTTCCTTGGAATCTCAGAAGCAAAATGATCAATGATGAACATCATCAACAAACATCACAGCATCATCATTGTGTTGATATGTCGAAAGTTTACGACCCCTCTTTCTACTTCCACTAATTCAATATGCGAGAAGCTCGCTGATCGTTTGTCTTATTATGCCTCACATTGTAATGCTACTGCCATATCAGTAGGTCAATTCTTGCATGCAAATCTACAACACAACTCTTATCTTTCAAAGGATTAGGATAAAGGTTGAAACTGTTCCTAAACATAATGTTCAACATCAGCCATCCTAGCTAGTCAACACTCTCCTAAAACTTGTCTCTTCTTTTTCTTCCTTTTTCCCCTAAAAATCTTATGTATGGTCTGTCATCCATTAGCAAACTCTTATCTCAAGCCTTCTTTTACTTTTACATTCCATGTCGTTTATCACAAAGAACAAAAGTGAAGAAAGGAGAGAAGAAGTGAAGAGTATGTTTACCTAATAAGATGAATTGACTGAAAGCAACCTTATCAGCTTGATGACATTTTCCGGTTCTGATTCCTCTGCAGAAGGGCTCCCTCTATATCTGCTTCTTCATCAAGGTCTGCTGATCAGCTATACAAAGGGCATGATTATAGCTTACTGGTAAACTAGAGCAGGAATCAAGAATAGTCAAGCGAGAATCCATCGACCTTTTCATTTCATTCAACGATAATTGATACATCTAAAGTGAACAATATCAGTGAATGGAGTAAAATATTTGCCTACTTATAGCCTTGAAATTACAATCAATGAGATGGGGAAAGAGGCTGGGTGTACAAGAAAACAAGAGGAACCCCCTCATGTGCTCAAAATGTTCATTTTCTCGACCTAAGAATTGATGGACAAGGGTTTCTTTCAGTATAGATTTGGTTCTGGTTAAAAGAAAGAAGCTTTTTCACGCCTTGTGTTCATAAGAGTTCTCAAGGACTCGGACTCCAGGTCCATATATCAAACGGCAGCGGTCACTGAACGAACCAACTAAACGGGATACCACCTCCTTGAAAAACATGGATGCAACCTGTCCAAACAAAGGCATTAACAGAAATTAAGGATCCGAATATCAAAAGTTACTCACTCCCAGTTCCTTCATAGAAGATTTGTGCAAATTCATCAGCCAATATATTACTTATCAAAGGTGGAAATCTAAAATACCAACATGCAACTTAACATTATAGGAATGATAGCTCCTGGTAGACAGACTAAATCCGTAAATTTTCTGTAATCACACGCCTACTGAATGAATTATCAAGAAGGATTGTGTATCCGTGTTATGCCCATCTTCCTATGATGTCACCAAGTTACAGAGACAAGAATGTAAGATGTTGTAGTCTTGTAGATATCCCTGAACCAGAAGAACATTTAGGTCATCTTCCACATCAGTATGACTGTATGAGTAGTGACATCCGAATGCAATTTCCAATATTCTCCTACTTATCATTCTAACAAATCACATTTGCAGAGAAATGCGGTGCCACAAAGTACAAACTGGTGGAGCTTGCGCAGTAGCATAGAGAGAGAGATAGCAATTACTGTAGAAAAAAGAAGAGCCACCTTTTCTTTCACTTATAAAAGAATGAGAGGTTCACATTCTATCAATTGTATTAGAGATGTTGATAGATTACAAGGAGGCCAGTTGAGGGGCCAGGCAGTAAATTGTGCACATATTTGAATTGACTACTAAATAAGAATTCTCAACACAATCAAATTGGGAAAATACATTGAATCTCAGATACTTCATACCAACTCCATAATTAACATAGCAGGACAATCTGAACACCGCAAGAGTGGTGAAGCAAAATAAAAGTCACATATTGCTGGATCATAGCAAGGACACTCATTTTCGCAAGACAATCATTTATCTCCACATTACCAAAGTATCAGGAATGCAGTCCCAAGTATATTTCAAAACACGAAATTGAAGTACAAACTCACAATGACATATCCGATCCCAACACACTGTCATAGATGCAGACATTAAAGCAAAGAATCAAGCACCTATATAGTATCCAATTGGACTAGCCTGGAAACTAAATGAACTTGGAGGAATTCCAACAAAAAAAAAATGCTCAGGTAATCATTCACATAAGTGAGACATTGGAAATCAAGATACATAGACCAATCAGATTGACCAGCAGCATCTTTCACCTCAACCCACAAGCATGTTTAGCATGGAGAAATGCTGCCATACACTAGGGCAGAGAGTAGCACAGAATACAGGACCATAGATTAATTCCCAAAGCACTAGCATGTTCTGAATGTTACACATTATGTCACTAGTTTGCTGCAGCCCAGTATAATTCACCTTTATAAATTAGATCCACATAGAAAGTAGGCATTCACACAATCTACAGCAAATAGCTTTTAAGGGAGGGAGGCGGACCTATTAATCTCCTATGGATGTCATCTGAACATAATCCTCAAGCATCGCATTTTATAAAACCCACTTTCTGCTAGTGTTCAATGTTTCACCTAAACTAGTTCATGCTGACAGTTGGTATCCTACCTTCGGATAAACTAGTTCATTGATTGTTCTAGAATAACTTATGTAGTTTTATGGAATGTACGTGATTATATTGACATCTTGGAAGTGCTTTATGAAGTGACTTAATACGCAAGGATGAAGATTCGCCAAAATTTAAAAGAGAAAAAGTTCATTACGCAGAAAGCATACTGTGCTTACCTGTCTGTAGAGTGGTGACTGAAACTTAAAATCTACCAAAAAGTGAAGATCACAGCTGCCCGGAACAGGTCCGGGATTAAATTCCCATATGTTTATCAAGTGATCAAAAAGGCCGCTCTGGGATGCAGTAGTCTGCAAGTAAGAACCCAATGTGAACATGTTACAGCTGTACACGCAGAATGAACTTGGAAACTTATAGTTAAGCTTAGCAACTAAACCCTACTATTCCACACTATAAGCTGGAAACTATAAAATCAGTAGGACTATAATAAATGACAAGTGCAATGTGCTAGAATCTCTAACATGAGAAAGAAACGGCTTCCCGGCTTCAAACTTTGAGGACACACCAAAGTAAAGATCATTTCATTGCCTTGCATTTCTCCACACACACATGTCAAGATGTTAATCTAACTCACGCTGAGAACCTGGCCTTCAGAATTTCACTTGAGATTCTCAAAGTTCAAATGTTCTGGTTCTGAAGGATGAACTAAAAATTCCCTCAACAAATCCCTTCAAATTCTGAGGGTCACCCATGCCCATCTACAGTTCATGACCTAAGCAAACTTCGACGCATTTCGGAGTTTCCTTATCCCATAATGAAACTGAAGCGATCAAACCTCGTAAGAAAAGCCAGAAAATGGATACCTTGACCATCTTGGGTCTCTCCAATTCAACGTGAGAAACGTAGCTCTCAACCAGAAACTTGAACCCAATCTCCAGCTCGGCATCAAATGATCCATCCGGGTAACGTTTGAGGACATCAGACCGCTGGCACCAGGGCACGAACCCATGATACAAGTCCACCGCCGCGACCACGTCAAACAATTGCTCCGGGGAATACCTGCAACAGGCGAAAGAAAAGCTCCCATCAACACCAATGACAAGCTGAAGGAACAGAAATCAGCATAAGAAACTGCTAAAAAAATCACCCTAGTACGCGTCTCTCTTCGTAAACCTTGGACAAAACACCGCCTTCTTCCCCATCTCCGCAACCGAGGAATCGCCTCCGTTGAACGGCTGAGTTACCACTGTACGAACTCCCCAATAGCGTCGAGCTGAAACCCCCCCGGAAATCGATTACACTCGACGGCGCCGAGACTCCGGCGATGCTTCTGGGGCACCGAATTTGATTGTGCTTAGCTGGGGCCACAACGAAATGCTTCGAGCGGCCCGAACGGGCTAACAGAGACCGTACCGCCTTGGACGTGGAGTTGAACGGCGGCATTCTAAATGAAGAGCGCCGGAGAATCAACGAGGGATACGAAACCGATTGAATTGGGAATTCAAAGAGATATCAGGAAAAGAAAAAATCGAAGGGATTGAGATTTGAGAAATGAAAATCGAGGCGCGAAGATATTGGAACCCTATATGAGATGCGAATCGAGGGGGAGGAGATTGAAAGGAAGAGGCGCCGTGATAATTTTGCACGGCGAGGCGCGAATTCAAGGTTGCAGTTAGGCGAGGTGTGCGGCTGGCTGGGCTGGGAGGCGGAGCTTTTTTCTTCCCTCTTTCCTTCCAGATTCTGGAATTACAAAATTGATAACAATGCTTTTTGGTCCTTCAACTATTATTCGTGTCATATTTAAGCTTCCTAATTTCATATTTTCTGAGCGATTTGTTTAAAGTGTTACAATAATCAATTGGATTGATGGGTTCTAACTTTGAATAAAAAATAAAGTCAAATAAGTTTGAATGTTACTTATGAATCACGTATCAGGATTTGTATAAGGTTTTGTTACATACATTCCCCTCTATTGGCGGACCCAGAAATTTTTTATAGGAGTATCTATTTTTAAAAAATAAATTAAATAAAAATAAATTAAAAATAGTTAATAAAAACAAAATCGTAAATATGAAAATAACTTACTCGTACAGGTTAAAAAAAGTCCATAGTGTGTTTTCATATTCGAAAATAATTGTATAATACACTTGCTGTATATAGTGTTAAAAAAATTGTCTCTATATACCCTACTAGACAATCATTCACGAACTTATCGCATATTCGATTTGTAAACTTGTTCTTGAGGTAACCCAAAGCTGAAAGACTCTTTCAACACTTGCCGTACAATCATAAAATCAATACAAATTAAGGGTAGCTTGAAATTAGTTTGATTGTTAGGTTTTAAAATAATTAGATATCTTGAATGACATTTTACTATTACACATTGTTCAAAATCGAACAACAAATGGGTTGTAGCTCAACAAAAATTAAGTTTATTAATGATAATAATAGTGTTCTAGATTTAAACTACCCAACCTACCACTTATATTCCTATACACAAATGACAGTAGGATAATCATTTTTTCAAATTTCAGGGGTGTCCCTCACTATCAATTATATTTTTTTTGTCCATACGTAAATTACCACCGGAGGTTGGATAATCATTTTTCCAGAATTTAGAGGTGTCCCGAGACATCTCTAAAACCCTCTGGATCCGCCCTTGCTCCCCTCCCCCTTTGGGGCACAATGCCTTCATTGAAGTTTGTCTCACCATCGCCCAAGAGGGTAGCGGAGGGGCTCTAATACCACTTGCAACATCTCGATGTTTCCTAATGTTGTTCTCTTTGAGCCTACCTCGTATGGTAGTTGTTTTAGGCGTATCATGATGATTTCGCTGAAAATCTCTCATTTTTACATTGTTTCACCCCGAGCATGTTTAACTTCAAAGGTTTTATAAGAACTCCTATGTTTCATCCAAAATGCATTTCATTAATGAAATTGAATATTTCTTATTAATCATAGATCTGTTCCATACTTTTTTAATATGAGGTTTGTCTAAAGTGTTAGAACTTAGAAATAAACAAATTCATTACAGCATTACTGATGATGGATTGATGGGTCCTAACTTCCAGTACAGAAACAAAAATCACGATTTTGGGGCTCAAATAGATAAACTGCGAAAATTCAGGAGGCCGGAAACGAAAATAGACGCTACGTGTTTTGCCTTCTTTTTTCCTCCGGGCAATTGGCGCACGTGGTTGGGCTGGATGTTATATCAGTGGCTGATTGGCTGTTCCGTTTTGTTTGGTTTCAAGGACCAAAAACTTGACTTTGACTTGGACACCGGAACATTTGGTCTTGAAACTTTTTCTAATGCATTTTCTGGTTCAGATAATTTTTTCCTGGTTCAAGCCATTACTCCAGCGTGGCCGGTTTGGAAGTTAAGATTTCAGATGATATATTTAGTCAATACATGTAATCAATTTTTTTCAACGAAACAAAATGTTTGTATTTGAACAGCATATGGGACCACTAGAATCATTTATTATGACAATTGTCAGTAATTATTGTGTTTGAGAGATTGTTAGCTTATTTTTTTCTTCCTTATTCTTTGAGAGACGACCAAAATCATTCAATCTACAAATAGTATATTTTTCAAATTCATACATTATAACAATACATCTAATTACAATTGATTAAATACATCAATTTAAAGGATACTAACTTTCAAACATGCCCACAATTCAACTACCATATCATGAGGTCACGTGGAATTCCAAACAAGTTTAACAAAGTACATCTCGAAATGTATACTATGTAAGATTAAGGAACATACCTACTATAAATTAGTCGAGCTGGCTCTCCATACTACAACATCCTCTTCCAAACAGGAGGAGACAATCGAGGTTGGAGAGACTTCCAGAAGGTTTTTTTTGTTGTAGTCTATACCTCTTTATTCATCTAACTAGAATAAATTACCCACAAACAAAATATCTCATATATGTCGAATAATATGTCTGGTTTCCACAACCTGAAATTCGGGATGAAATAACATGTCTACCTCTAATAAGATTGGAAAGAAATTCGGGATGAGATAGTATGTCTACCTCTAATAAGATTGGAAAAGTGACACCCCCTATTAATTATAGATTTTTAAGGTAATCAATTTGTGTTGCATACTTGCATTTAATAATCTGTATGAATTAAAAACACATATTAATTACTTTCCCTTTTTCAATGCACTAGTAGTTGTATCAGTGCAATGATATTAGTGTACAGATGCAATGATAGATGTATCAGTGCAATGGTAGTTCCAAAAAAGGAACGTAATTAATATGAGTTCAGTATACAAGTGGAATGGTAGTTAAAAAAAGGAATGTAATTAAGATGAGTTTTTAATTTACAAACACTTTGAACATCAACTCTCCGCATATAGGCATTACAAATCCTATAAATACCCTTTAGCATATTTTGAGGAAGAAGAAATATAGGGATGGCAAAAATATCTGTAACCGTGGATATCCGCCCGAATCCGGCCTAATCAGGTAGGGTAAAATCCGAACCCGAAGGACATTTAGTGGGTACGGGTAAAATCTGAATCCGAATATTGCGGGTAATGGGTGGGCATGAGTTTCTCACTATCCAACCCGAATCCGCCCGATTATACACATGCATATGTATTTTGTCTAGAAATAATCATTATTTTTCTCTAATATATTTTATATTTAGCATATAAATATAATATTTTCATGAAATTGTGTAGTTTTAATTAATTTTCTTCGTTCTAGTGAATTATTGTCGTACTTTTCATCTTACGTAATGTGAGAATACGTGTGAATGTTAACATATTGGTTGGAGTTATGAAGAGAAATTATTACCCATGGATAACCGTGGATACCCGAAACCCGAACGGGTATGAGCATGATTTTGATTTTTTACCTGTATCACACGTGGGTAACTGGGTATGGATATGGGTAAAACCCGAACTACTATGGATAGGGTAACGGATATGCGCTATTCGCGCCCGACCCGACCTATAGTCATCCCTAAAGAAATATGCTTATCAAAAGTGTAGAATACTAGTTGACTTGAAGTTCACCCGCACGAATTAGAAGTTCGGCTCTTCAACCATAAATCTTGTTTGCAATTTTATCTACCGGCACTTGACACTCTTTTCTTGACAATTTCTTAATAATAAAACCGCACTTCAAATACCTTACGAGAAATTCACCTAATGAGAAATTTGTACAAGTAGATACAATGGGGTCGTTTGGATTAGGGAATGTGGAAATGAGGGATTTGAGTTAAAATCTCTCAATTAAAAACCCAGATATTTTAAACGTGGGATTTGACCAAAATAACTTGTTTGGAAATGAATGAAGGATTTTAATAAGAAAATTACAATTACAATTACAATTACAATTACAATTATATCCATCCCTAACCCACCTCCTTACATCTGCATCTGTTTCTTCTTCTTCTTCCCTTTCCTCTGCATCCTATTTCCACTATCCTGAACCAAAAAATAGCAACGATCAACAAAATTTGGGTTCCTCTGTCATCTTCTTGAACCAAAAAATAGCAACGATCAACAAGATTTGGGTTCCTCCGTCATCTTCTTTCAACATACATGAAGGTTATAATTCCCAATAGCAACTAGAAATCCTAGAAATTGATTTGTGAACTGATTCAAAATTGGACACTATATCTGCCAAAATCAAGGAACCAGAAGGAAGAACCCAAATTTCCTCTTTCTCGAGGCTAACAAATCCGGCAAAAAACAATCGACTTGATTCACAGGGATGCAAGAAAAGCAGAGTGGGGGTGACCCCAGTGAGTCGAATGACAATGGTGAGTGGTGAGTGGCGATGACGGATCAAATCGATTGAAAGAGAGATCGTCGCTGGTCAACAGGTCTGGAAGGGAAGATTCCGGTGCTGGGTATGGGGGAGGAAGAAAGGCAGAATGGAGAAGAAGGAAGGACAGGTTTGGAAGAAAGGTAAAAAAAATGAGAGATTTCAAAATAGCCGACCTCTATTAGCTATTTTAAAATTCCATACTTGTAGGTTTTTGAAATTCCTAATGCCAACAATTTCTCATATTCTCAAACGCAAGAATGTTTTAAAATCCTGCACAATGAGATTGTTTTAAAATCTCTCACAAATTCCGCATTACAATCCTTCATTCAAACGACCCCAATAAGTTATTCACGATTGAGATATCTCCACAAAACAACTTGCTCTTGGAAGGGTTGCATTGAAGCCCAGACGGCTTGTAAAAAAGTCATCAACTAGTCTTCAAGTTCCTGTTACCAAAATGCTCTTTTCTAGTGGCTTTCAACACCAAACACCAGAATACTTGGTGAGGTCGTTTGGATTAAGAATTTAGTTAATGAAAAATTTTGTCAACAATCACTCAATTAAATACCAGGTATTTTAAACCCAGAATTTAGGTTAAATATATTGTTTGTTTATGAATGGAAGGTTTAGTAGTTAGGGAATTTAATTTTGAAACAATTGCCTAAATTATAATTATATCCTTTGAAGCCAACATTCGATTCTTCCCTGCCAATTAACGTCGACTTCACCGGAATCTTACCCCACCTTGCGTCCTTCGAACTCCCCTCGTCTAGACGAGGTGACTCCACCAACAGAGACTCTGTTTTCGATCGCAGACTCACTATTTCCCATAATTGCTGGTTGCAAACGAAACCAAAGAGTCCCAATCATTCTTCTTCCTCTTCTCCTAGCACAACCCAGAATCGAACAACCACAATCGTAGTTGTCTTCTTCTCCAATTTATGTGTTTCGAGACTCACCAACCAGAGACGGCGGTGGGAACGCGAGACGGCGCGGGGAGCTTAAAAAAAATCCAAAACCCATACTTGGAATTTCTAGATCTGGATCGAGCTCGTGACAGCGGAATGGCGGGGAAATTTGTAGACGGCTTTCGAAGCTCCGAAGAAAGCCTGGAGCAACGGATCCGGCCAGGCTCGATTCCAACCCAGCGTTGCCATGATCTCATTCATCTTCATGCGCTCATTTGTTGGAGCTGGAGTGTTAGGGCTCGGGTCAAGACCCGAACGAAGGATCTGGATTCAGAGATGGCTCGACGATGAGCTTGTTGCCGCCGTCGTCGAGAGGCTTGGGGGTTGTAGAGGGAGGAGTAAGGCGAAGGCGAGTTGTTGTTTGAATTAGCTTATGGGAGAGCTCCACGATGAAGAATGTGGTCAGAAGGAAGGATGCGGCGAAGAATGGTCGAAGAAGATTAGGGATTTGGGTTCTGGAGCAGGGGTAATAGCAAGGACACATTTGGCAGAAAAAAAACTTTGGGTTCTGATTTTGAAATACTTGGGGATGGACAGATATTTCTAATTTCTAGTTGGCCCGAATTTACGATTTCCGGTGGGCCAAATCCTGCATTTTTTTAGAGCTATCCAAACATGGGAATTGCTTAATTTCCTGGACAAGCGAGAATTTGGATAAAATCCCTGCCCTCTTTTCTAGATCCAAAAGACCCCATAGGAATTGTAAATAAGTAAGGGATGGTCTCTTTGGCACTTACCTTTTCCAACACCAAAAATATTTCAAAGCCACCTATTTAAAGAAACACAAATCACAGTGAGTAGCAAGGTTGTCAAACCGGTTTATGCCAGTGTGCCGGTTTAGCTAGTGGAATGGTTCAACCGGTGGCACATACCGGTTTGTGCCGGTTCATGCCGGTCAATATTACAAATAAAATTATAAATACTCATATTTAAACATGACATTTAACGTCAATACTTAAACATTTATACCTGAATCCAACAAATAACATCAATATTTAACTTTTATACTCATAAAATAAATAATAAAATAACTTTTATCAATTAAATTCACTAAAATAAAATCATTTTACTTAGAGATTCGTATATCGATCATGCCGGTCATACCGGTGGTGTCATGCCGGTTTTATGACCGGTACCGGTTGAACCAGGTACAACCGGTGGTACGCCGGCCGGCGTGACAACCATGGTGAGTAGTGACATGTGTATTGATCAGCAACCAAATCAGAAGGCAACCTCATAGACAACATTATATTGTATAAGGAATCTCAATTCGCCTAATCAAGATCTTTCATAAAGATCAATTTTTATTGTGCACCGCAGTGTAATTAATACCTTATTAGTATCTTTAATTAACTAGTTGAGAAAATAAAAGATATTATCACTAATTAAACGCCATCGATAGCATACATAGATGGACCTATTATTTTGTACAATATTCTAGTTGTTGATTTTCCAACAATTTAGGAATATTTGCTTTTTAGATTTGAAATGAGAATTTTGAGTTTTAAAAACCTTTGGATTTATGATAGATTTGTTGCATTATGGATTTGGAAGAATACATTATTTGTTTAGCTAATTTTTAACATGGATTTGTCTTACAATTTTGCTTTCCATTATCAAATCTCAAATGAAATGTGTGATTGGGGTCCACAGATTTGGATCTAAAAAAAAGGGGTTCAAATCCATTGGTTCCACGAATTTGTATCTCTTAGCAAACAATGAATTTGTATCAAGTCCATAATGCTTGTCATTTGGGTGTCAAATCCATCACCCAAATCTCACAAGCAAACGATACCTTACCTTGTGAGTGTTATGACAAGAAATAGGCCTAATGTCTTATCATGCATTTAACATTAGTGATCTTACCAACCATAATGAAGAAATGAGCACGTGGAAGTTGGAAGTACCTTGAGTCTGTGATCTATGACGGCAAGTAATGCTCCACGGAAACTCGCAAACAAAGAACATGCAAGTGGAATTATTTATTGATGGCCTAAATTCTGTCGATCATGTTGTCATAAACTCTCAAAAGTCAAAACAACAATGCTCATTAAAAAACAAAACTCACAAAACAACAATGGACTCTATTGGGTACAAATTATCTAAAACCGGAATGAAGTTGCCCCAAGAAAGCAGTCGGAAGTATCTCAAATATTACAGACATTTGAAACCCTAAAACATCCATCTCAACTAAACAATCCAGCAACTACAAGGAAAATTACCCCCGCTTGCCCAAACCTTTTATCCCTGTACAGAAATCAGATCGCTTTAGAGCTTAAACCTTGTCAATCTGACCCCAAACATCTGATATGCAAATATCTCGATCCACACTGCAGCTCTCCTTATGGTATCCTGGAGAGTTTTGCTTTGGTGCAGATGAAGTTCTGATTACTATTTGATTAACCTCTTCAAGTCGAATCCTTTTGACGGGTTAGAAAGCTGAAGTGTAATGCGAAGAATCTCATCTACTTGCAGGGATGCACTTGTGATCAGCAGAATCAATTACCATTCCCGCAGGAGAATTACGAAATGGTACAACCTGTTCAGAAGAACACTCTTTGAGAGTTCAGTACAAGTCGAAGAGCAAAGTAGAAGGTTGATCAGAAAGTAATCAGGATCAATGCATCACCTGATCGCTGCGGGGAGCATGATCGTTAACCACCACAACTTTGATTCTTTTCGAGCTGCAGGTACTGCTTGCGCCCTTTGCACTGTCGTCGTCCTCCTCCATGTCTTCATCGACAAAGTTCTGATCTGACATCTCTACAGTGGATAAGAGCTCACTTTTTAGCCAACTCCAAAGATATGACATTGCTTCAGATGCAAGGCAATATATAATAACATGGAAAAGCACCTGTGTAGTTGTTGTTAGAGTGATCATGATGATTGCTAGAAGAGTGAAACCCCTGCGAATTTTGAGGATCCTGATGCTGGGCTCCCACACTGTGAGGCTTCTTCACACATCTGAAATGTTGGATCCAGGGGCTCTTGAGGAAACCCTGCGCTTCAGTCCTCGTATTTACCCGCGAACCTCCTGGCCTTTGGAAGTCGACTTTCTGCCAGCAGCCACGTCGAAGAACCTTAAACTGAAGGGGGGTAAAGTGAAGACAAACAAAGGGAATCATGGAAAAGTGGCTCTTTCATACCATCAAATAGCTCAAACTCCCCTCAACTGGGAGGAAAGAGTTTTTGTTGTGTCAATTACCTGGCCAGAAGGGGTGCTCAAGGTTTCGAATTGTTGTTGCCTCGAGAGTTTTGGATCAATGTAGCCATACAACTGGTCAACGAAAGTTGATTCCATGGATTTGAGATAAAGCCTATGCTCCTCATTGGTCCACTCCTTAGGCATAGATGATTCCACAGGCGGCTCCTGCAGAAAACCAAACATCACCCGTCACCATCCATGCAGTCGAGCAATGCTAAGAAAAAATCATGGTCGAGACATCATTCCCTATTGCCAAACATTCTTACAGGCTTCAACATTGTTGAACATCATACCAAACTAACAACCCAGATCACAATTCAGCGATAAAGTCGCTTCTTTACTTGGGGACACTTTTAAAAACAAATTAGCAACCCCATGAATGAAAATAATAGAAAACCCTCAGTAATCCCTCTCTCTCTCTGTGTTCTTTGGTTATACAGACTGGTTCACTTGGCCAATCCTTAGGATTAACAATTCAAAACATCCAATCTCAAAAGGGTGAATCCCGGTATGTGGAAATTGCCATGGTCAGGCTTATGATTGTAGTGGACGAGCGACAGAGTAAAAAATGAGTGGTTATGGTGCATCCACAGCCATCTGATCAGGAATCTAACAGCCGACGAGGCATAACCGGTTCAGCAGCCAAGGCAAATTGCATTCTGTGCACAATCATCAAACCCAGTACCCAATTCTTAAGAAACAACAGGAAAGAACAGAAAAACCCTTTTTTCACCTCAGCAAAACATATTAAAGCCACAAAAAAAAAAAAGTTAAAGAGGCACAACCTTAGCTTCGAATCACTACTCACTACCAACCAAAGAATTAAGCAATCAACTAACAACAAGAATTTTTTGATAACCTACTAAGAACAAGAATTCGCTTAATATAATTATATGAAAAAAAAAAACAAAGTAGTAAAATAGCAAAATATCTACTTCATGAAAAAAATATCTAAAAGAGGAGCAACCTGTTGGCGAGAAAGGCTGAGGGTCTCGACGCGGTGGGCGAACTCGGAAGCTGGATCGTCACCGGCGACGAGGGAACTCGTCCGAGTCCTGACTCTGCTGCCGCCGTCCATCAGAGAGAGAGAGAGAGAGGAAAATGGGAATTGAGAAGCGAAGAGGATGAAGATGGGAGAACTTTTTTGACGGAGCAGAGGGAGAAAAATAATAAAAAGGGGGAGGAGAAACGTTACAGTTGTCACCGCTTTATTCCACGTGTCAATGTGTGATCAGGATCCACGTCACCACCACCCCCGGTTTTTGTGGGGCCGACCCCCTGATATTAAGCGATCTCCCGATCAGGATGAAGGATGGAAGGAAAAGAGAGGCCAGATATTTTCTTTCTCCTTTGCCGTTTCTTTCTTCCATCCAAAATATCTCCTCGACGTTACGCGCTGGTGGAGTTTTCACTTCGCCCACGTTATTAACTGCAGGTTGGTCCTTATTATAGATTTGGTTTACATTTCAGTCCCTTTTTTTAACTAATAACCTTTATTATAAGAACCGCACGGAATTCACGGCTGGATTAGAAGAATCGTCATACCAGTTATAATGGAGGTTCGATTCATTTGCTTGAGGGATACAAGACGAATCAAATGACTTTTTTACGGTTGGACATGAAACTAGATTAATCTGTTCGGTTTGACTAGTCTACTCGTTTATTATTTTTTAATAAAAAAATGTTTGAGAAATTTTTTTTTTAAGTTATAAACTGAGACAATCCAACCATACTAACTAATTTTATTTGTACTTCCTCTTCTTTGTTTTCCAGTCTTTCATTTATTTATTTACCCAATCTGCTATCGATTTCTACCGAATTATTGATATGAATTTTATAAAATTTATGGATAGATTCTTTTGTGATTAGGGTATTCAGGAATTAACTAGTAGTCTCCTGTTGCAGGGGCGGAGCTACACAGGGCCTGAGGGGGGCCCCGGCCCCCCCGAGAATTTCAAAAATCGCGAAAGAATGTACGAGTATTCTGAAAATTACGAAATAAATACAGGTTTTATAATAATGGCCACGGGTTAAAAGGTATCTAAAGAAGCTGATTACCCTAGTGGAGTTGTTGTTATTCTGTATCCAACAGGTCAAGGGTTCAATCCCCACTTATGTTATTTTTTCGGATAAGTTTAACAAGAATGTCAATGGAAAATTTTAAATTTCCCCCGATAAGTTTAAGTGTTTAACAAGAATGTCAATATAATTATTTGAAAAAAACATCTGGTACATTTTGATAATTCACACAATTAATTTATTTATATAGTTATATAATTATTTTGATTTTTGTCTAGTTACGATAGTATACGAAACATTTCCGGCCCCCCCAAACCCGAAATCCTAGCTCCGCCCCTGTCCTGTTGGGATCAACAATCATCCTTACATATATTAACTTGTAATCATGAATTAACTTTATTAGAGTACTCATAAATTGACTTGTACTCTCCCATGATTGAACAACATGAAGCTAATATTCGTTGAATTGTCTGTAAACATAACCATACGAGAACATTTATGGGTCGCCTGAATGAGGTCTTTTAATTAAAAACATGAGTCCCTTTGTGTCAAATTACTCATTTTACAAAAAACAAAAAAACAAAAAACATCTAGACTGTCATGTTTCTTCATTCAAAATGAATCATTATGAGACAACTGCGACAAATTATTTAATCCAAATGCCTACGACCTCTGGATTAGGACGGTGTTGAAGGATAATTGGCGTCATAGTACACTAACATACAAAATGACATACTAATGTAAAGGTTCATTAAAAAGGACGAATATGTTAATAACAATAAAAAAAATCATGGACGAATATGTTAATAACAAGAATGTCAATCTAATTATTTAACAATTTATAGCTTTAATGGAAAATTTTAAATTTCCCCCGATAAGTTTAAGTGTTTAACAAGAATGTCAATATAATTATTTGAAAAAAACATCTGGTACATTTTGATAATTCACACAATTAATTTATTTATATAGTTATATAATTATTTTGATTTTTGTCTAGTTACGATAGTATACGAAACATTTCCGGCCCCCCCAAACCCGAAATCCTAGCTCCGCCCCTGTCCTGTTGGGATCAACAATCATCCTTACATATATTAACTTGTAATCATGAATTAACTTTATTAGAGTACTCATAAATTGACTTGTACTCTCCCATGATTGAACAACATGAAGCTAATATTCGTTGAATTGTCTGTAAACATAACCATACGAGAACATTTATGGGTCGCCTGAATGAGGTCTTTTAATTAAAACATGAGTCCCTTTGTGTCAAATTACTCATTTTACAAAAAACAAAAAAACAAAAAACATCTAGACTGTCATGTTTCTTCATTCAAAATGAATCATTATGAGACAACTGCGACAAATTATTTAATCCAAATGCCTACGACCTCTGGATTAGGACGGTGTTGAAGGATAATTGGCGTCATAGTACACTAACATACAAAATGACATACTAATGTAAAGGTTCATTAAAAAGGACGAATATGTTAATAATAATAAAAAAAATCATGGACTAAAATAACATACTAATGTAAAGGTTCATTAAAAAGGACGAATATGTTAATAACAATAAAAAAATCATGGACTAAAATAACAAGAAAGGGTGACTTGCAGGAGTGAGTCACAGATTTCGTGAATTCAAACTCATCCTACCCGAAACTCCCCTGTATTTGGCAATTTGCCTTTCTCCTCGCCGCCACCGCCACTGCTACTAGCCCTTAGGCCTTTTATCTCTCTATCCCTCACAAAGCAACGTAAATATCACAACAGATCTTTTGGGTTTTCGATCGACATCTCCAATATTCGCACCAATTTTAGTAACCTAACTAAGCTTAGCATTAGCAACTAGCAACTAGCAAGCAACACATAAATGAATACAGTTATGTAGCAAAAGCGACACTTAGATAGCTACTTTTTTCTAACCAAGGGACAATTATCGCTGCCCAATTTTGGCTTCAATATTTCCCTCCCTTCTTCTATAATTGTATCTGGACCACTATGTCGAGACGGAGCGGCAGTACAATCACGTCGAGACTAGCAAGCTTTAAGACGAGTCGGAGGCATATCGAGCCAAACACCATGTTCGTGACTGTAATATTGTGCATGACCTTTCAAATAAGTTGGCGTGCTCTAGACGAGGGAAACGTCGGATTCCATCAGATACAGAACAACAAAGGTTTTGGAAATTGACATTCAACATTATTTTCCCGAATTCATTTTCTTGATCGACTCGATCGGAAGCTTCTCGATTAATACCGTGCTTCCCATTTCCTTGGTGGGGGCGAGTTGAGCGTCAAAAAATATCTGGAGACTGGAAGGGAATCAATCAAAGGGTATATTTTTTGTAGATAGGGAATTGACACAAGAGGGAAAGCATATGAATGTCGGCAAAAATATCATGGAAAGGGACAGAGCTAGGACAAAACCCCAAAATCCTACGCTAAAGCAGGTATTGAATTCAATGATAAAAAGAGGTGGGGAGTGTCTCCCCACGCCAATTATATTCCTTCACAAATGCTCTGTTGGATTGTTCGGCGGTCTGGCCAAGCTAGGCGACTAGCAATCTAGCATTACCATAAAATTAGGCTCCAACCCAGCACAATGAATGTGGTACAGAAAGACTAGAAGCAGCTGCGATGTTCGATCCACAGGATCGTAACCCGTAGTGGGATTAGGATATGCCTTAAAATCCGATTCAGCGAAAATCAACGCAGTAAAACCGTGACATGATCCTAAAAAAAACGAGCACCTAGATGATCTCTGGCGGGGATTTTATTCGTAGCACAGGCATGAGAAGTACAGTAAGTAAAAGATATTCACAGTGGTACACAAAATTGGGGGGATCAACTAGATGATCACTTCTTCTTAGTTCGACATCGTACCAAAAACAAAAATCAAAGAAGAAAAGCAGTGTTGATAATTGGGAAATTGATATCGAGAGCTATTTACTGGCTTTACAGTATGAAGCTTTAGCATTTTCAGTGCGGCGAGAGCAAAGGGGGATAACAGTGGCAAAAGTGAAATGGGGGGTACAAAGGTTTGCACCCAAAGAGTTACCTCATTCTGAACCTTATTCATCTTTCTCCTGCTGGCAAGATATTCACCTAGGTGTGGCCTTCGTACCCGGCTTCTTTTTGTGGAGTTGTAAATTGGTCAAGAAACCGACAATAAGAAAGATCCTAGCATCAGAAGCAGGATGACGGTCGAAAATCAGGATTCTGCCCTGTCATCAACTTCCGGTATCACAGTATCTTGCAAGTCCATTTGACCTGTACATTGCCAACCACAAGGTTATACACTAGAACAACTCTCTTATTCTCGCACGAGTACCTTAGAATGCTTGTTTTGAGCATCCTTTTTTTGTGTTGGTAGATATTAATCAAGAATAGTAGAGATGGGAAATGGAGAGTGTTACCTAACAAGGAAATCAACGATGGGGAGCTTCCATTTGATTTCATGTCTGTACCTGGGAAAATGAGGTAAACATCCATTGTCAACTAGCCATTCATCTGCATAAAGGGACTGCGGGTTCTCGTTCTTCAGTGAAGATTATAATATTACCTGAGCTTTCCAACGATTTGAGGACATCTGATTTCTTGTAAGTGAATCCGATGAAGTTGGTATCTTTCGAAGCCAACATCTACACCAAGTAAAGAGGTAGTCAGAATGGGAGTCATCAATAAATATAATTGCAGATCAACGTCCCCAGAAAGCAAGAAGGAATCCACTCCAAGGAGGAGAAATAAATAGTTCATAAGCATTTGCTCTGAGAAAATACTGATGTAGTGCTATTTGAATCTGATGATTAGAAAAAACCAGCAACTACTGAAAACAGAAAGGTAAAATAGTGGCAACTAGAACAAGTTGAAGATAAGGTTAAAAAGCCACATTTCCGGCAGGTAAAGTGAAAAGAATAAGTTACTACATTTTGCAGCTGATAACATGAAACAAGGGGGCTGATTTAAAATCCGAGTTTCTGCTTTCGAATAGGGCTGTACAGTTTATAGGCAAGTAGGAGAAAGGGGAAATAAATATTCAAATTCCTTCAGAATGAATCATCAACGGCAACAAAACAAGTTAAAAATTCCCGAGGAAATGAGAGGAAACAATAAGCTGGTTTTATATCAGGTGCTATTACCTTTCTCCAGGGTCCCACACTTGGTATTGCTGATGGTGCACCATCCAACTGAAAGAAGTCCACAGGACATGCATTTATCAGACCAACCACTTCAGAAAGCAACAAGATACAAGTGCTCAAAAGTAATCTAAGCAAGAAAAAAAAAAAAGTAAAAGCCCATATTGAGAAGAAAAGAATATTATGATTCATGTTTGCTTTTTGGACAGCCAGGGTTCTCAATGAATCTCATGGACCAAGAGAGAGAGAGACTCGACGAATGGCATGCTAAACACAAATTTATTAGGTTTGTGGTCCTCGCCGGACAAAGCTTCAGTGAATTCAGTAAGGTTCACGATTCAATCATGTTATTTTACCGACGAAAAGCACAAAAATAATATATATGCTCTGAGCACATCGCACTTACTTCAGGAAACTTCTCAAAATTCTGTGTGTCCAACTCTCCATTCACTGTAGGCTGATATGCAGCCTCCATTTCATACAGCTTATCCCACTGAACGGATCTGAACCATGGATGTGCCTGAGATCAGAGAGAACTTAAGAACAGGCACAGCTAAAAGAACACAAAAACCAAGTAGTGTACGTATCAACAGTTGCAATATGTCCTCAAAACAGCAAGGAAAATATTCTTTCTTCGAAAAAAATGTACCTTCAATTCTTCCACTCCTCTGGTGCCCAGCCTTGTATCAACATCACAAAGCAGATGGCGAATCAGGTCTTTGGCCTCATTGGATAACTTGGGCTCCTCGGGGAAATTCATACATGTCTTCCAGTTTATTATCTGATGGGAGATAAGAGATATTTCATCAACCCTAAGCCCTATGAAGAATTCTAATCAGAAGTAACTGAGACGTAAACTAGCAACCACCTTGCGGCAAGTGATCCTGGGATCATCAGAACAGAAGGGTGGGTATCCAACAAGCATCTCATACATAATTGCACCAAGGGACCACCAATCACATTCCATTCCATATCCCTTCTTCAGGAGCACTTCAGGAGCCATGTAATCAAGAGTTCCAACAGTTGAATAAGCCTGAAAAAAAGGCACAAAACTAAAGCTGTTAACTTGCATCCAAAATAGTGGATTGCCCAAGCAAAAGCTTTATAAGGTCATACAAGGGCACGGCGATTGCGCTTCCATTGTTGCAATTGCTCCTTGGGCATCATCCAAGGTGGCCTGTCACTGCCTCCGCTGTCAGTCGTGGCCTCCTGGTTCACAATATCCTCATTTGCCAACAAAGTTGAATATTTATCATCAAGGGGCTTACACAGACCAAAGTCTGAAAGCTTCAAATGGCCATTTTTGTCCAGTATAAGGTTATCTGGTTTTATGTCCCTACAAGCAGCATAATTTGAATCAGCATCTTATGATTTTGCATTGAATTTAGAATGAAAAGCCAAACATGTGGGGATCAAAATGCCCAGAGTGAGCTGCTTCCGTTTTGAGGCTTCAGCACTTGCACTACTTATGGAAGAAACAAAATATTTTGGGATTCAGTTCTGCTCCACAAACCAAAACCAGTTCTTCTTGGCTTTGGAATCAGACATATAAATCACTTGAAACCATATGAACTTGTGGATAATTACATGATGCGACAAATGACTTACCTGTGAACGTAATTGTGTTGATGAATTGAGTGTATCGCTAGGATGCTTTCTGCTATGTAAAAACGAGCAACATCCTCGGAAAGAATATCTTCTCTCATCAGTAATGTCATGATGTCTCCACCAGGTAAATATTCCATTATTAGGTACAAGAACTCTGAGTCTTGAAAAGAATAGAACAGCTTTACAATGCACCGACTGTCCACCTCGGCTAGTAGATTTCTCTCTGATCGAACATGCTCAACCTTGAAAGACAAAAGCAAAACTGGTTTCAGGCATACATCACGATATGATTGGTGGATATATCACACAAGGTAGGTTTAAACATAGGCATGTGCTGACGGGTAACTATTGATGGATAAAGATCTGCTAATTGGTTATATTCAATCCAAACGATACCAACAGCTTGATAGATTAGATACAATCAACAACGCTAGGATTGCTTCCAAGTAGTTAACTGCTATATCATCTAAAACTTTAGCAGTGAACAATGCACTCAATGATGTTTGGAAATCTTAACTCTTGAGGTTATATTCAGCACACCTACCAATCTAAATATAGACCATTAATTGCACCAAACTGATAGCGTGATCATGATCCCAACCAAAGTACCAAGAGGACAACGGTAGCCAGTATAGATGAATCTAGGAATTTATCTGACCTGCCCACGGCTAAGCATTTCCGATTTCTTCAGTTTCTTCATGGCAAAAATCTCCCCAGTGCCTTTGGCCTTGCATAACCTGACCTGCATTATCCGATGCATTCATTAGAACCTTTCAATACGAGGGGGGGAAAACAAAATTGGTGGGGAGAAATCAAGAAAAAAAACAAGAAATCTACCTCTCCGAATGCACCTTTACCAATGACAGTTAATTGTTCGAAATCATCGATCCCAACTTTGCGTCTTTGCATCCTCATGAACTCAGTTTCTCTCCTCTCCAGGCTCCTCATCAATTCCTCCTGCTCCTCACTTGATACATGAGCCTCTTGTGCTCTGCGCTGGAGCGTCCGCCGTCTGACATTCATAGTTCAGGTTGATCACACATGCTTCAAATTCACTTCCACGAAGCAGACATAAAAAAGGAAATCTCTAGAAGGAAATGTTCAACTAATTAAGTCTTAACCAAACAGAAACTAATCCATTCACGATGTATTCTACTACTCCGTTTATTGAATGAAGCGAATAGCATACAAGTCAGTCAAACTGAGGTCGCCGGCCAGATAGTCACAGAACCTCATTTGATCATACTCTGACCTCCGATTGACTTCGATCAAAACCGCAATCAATTCAAATTCGAGCCACTAAATCACAGAACCTCCCGGATTCCAAAATCCGCTCGTTCGAAACAGATAAATCAACGATCCGCGAGATACGATCACTGCAATTTACAAAAACAAAAAAGATACGAGGAGGGCTCGCTCACCTCTCTTTGCGATCCTGCAATCCTTGCAAGTAGTTCTTGTAGTGATTCTCGATGAACTGCTTGGCGGCGGCAGCTTTCTGCCTGGTGACCGGCGACGAAACCGACACATCAGAGTCCAGGCCGCTGCGCTCCCTCAAGTTGAGAGCCCCGAGCCTCACCGTTCCCTCACCGCCGGCGCCGTCCATTGCTGTCTGCCAAATCCTCCAATTCGAGAGCAAGGAAATCAGATCAAGAAGTATCAGCTCCCGCACCAATACTCGAGAGCGAAAATCAGAGACGACGGTGCTACTGCATCTGGATTGAATTGCTAAGCAAGCTCGGAACTGCTCAGCGGCAACGAGCAGAGAGAGATCTAAGCAGAGCTGTCAGTGTTCTGGAAAATGACTTCAGAGAGAGAGAGAAGTTGAAGGTGGGGAGAATTCTGAAAGAGGTGGTGAGCCGAAGCGAAATGAACTGGCGAGATTTGTGAGGGATTTGGTATATATATTTGGAGAGAGAGAGAGAGAGAGGACGCAGGACCAAGTGTTATTATTTATTTGTTTTGCTCGCTGGCTTGGCTGGCTGGGTGGCCTCACTGGAGATCATTTTAATTTTTCCTCTTTTCTTGTTTTGGGTTTCGTTTTTCTATATAACTTCCCTTTTGGGGTGGAATGGGAGTGGGATGGACGCCATCGATTTCCTCGCTTCCACTGGAATCTCCACATTATACCTCAAGGCCGTGTTTGTTTGTTTCTTTCAGCTAAAGTTAAATAAAAGCGTGTCCCTTAAATTGAATTATAACTAAATTCATCAAACAAACAGGAGTTATAATTAAGCTATTGTCCGCCAAAAACCTGGCTTGTTAGCAAGATTAATAATTAATTTGTTCTCAATTATTACCTTTTCATGACTAAACAAACATATCCAATTCGATATAACAAAAGTTGAAGTATGACATAGAAGTGGCATTATATGAGAAGAAAAGTTAGAAAAATTGTTTCACAATAATAAGGGCTCAATGTAGTCATATTAGTTGTATTTCGCGTTTTGAGGTTGAAAATATAACGAAAGTCGCACTTTGCAAAAAGTTATTACGAGAATCTTCATTTATGACGATGCAAATAGGGATGGCAATGGGTCGGGTTATGCCAAACACAAACCCAAACCCATGGGTTTATCTGTGAAAAAAACACGGGGTAAAACCATTGGGTTTGAAAAACTCAAACCCAACCGAACTCGCTGGGTATCCGCGGGTTCATGGGTACCCACGGTTTTTGTCGTAAATATTTACAATAACAAGTTCCTATCAAAATTAAAGTTAAATATCAATCTCTCAATACAAATTATCCATATTTAAAACACCATTCTAGAAAATTCAAGCAAATCACAAATTAACTATACAAATTGTTCAACGTCAATCTAGAAAACTCAAGAAAATTGAAGCAAATCACAAATTATCCATAAATAACATGATTAATTGAAAGCTTCTTCCTTTCAATTAAGTTTCTTCACTCTCCACTCGATAACATCAACTTCATTCTACACGATTAGAAATAAAAAATTAGACATGTCTCCACAAACATAAATAAGATTAGTTGTTTAGAATATTAAATATACCGAGAAAATTAATTATATGGGTGTGGGCGGGTACCCATGGGTCGGGTTTACCTAAACCCAAACCCAACCCGGTGAATAGTGAACGGGTTTAAACCCAAACCTGATCCAAAACCCGTAAACACGGATTTTACCCGCGTTGACCGAGTAGGGTCGGATGGGTACCCGTGGGTTCGAGTTTTGTTGCCATCCCTAAATGCAATTGCTATTGGCATTCATGTCAATGTTTAATTATGTGCCATGGTGGCCGTTAATTTTCAGGCTCAACTTTAAATGTGCATTGTTTGGTATTTGGTTTGTTCACATTTACATCATTATTTTTCTCACTTTTTAAGGCCAAACTTCTTAGACAATGTATGCAAATTATGCATCACTTTGGTTTTACATAGCTAGCATAACCTTCGTTAAGTGCATGCGTTTTACACCTTCGATATTTTTCTTTTTATATTTCCAGGCATGTGTCATTTAGTGCCACATTTATCATCACTTGTTTGTTCGTATTTGTTCCTCTTGCTTTCCTATGAACTAGTAAACGACCTAACATTATTTTATTTCCCCAACTTTTACAAATGCCAAACAAACAAACATGGCCTTCGGCCAGCGATGGCCTCTCTGTTTATTTCTTTTTCCGTGGGTGGACTCACTCGCTACAGTGTCGGCGGAGATGAATACGAGAACAGATGAGCTTGATTTTTGGGAAAGAAATATAAGTACCAGACGGTGGCGCGTGAATATTACGTGACGTTGCATTGGAAGAATGGAGTGCGTGGCAGGTAAGAGAAGACTGGCGAGTGGTTCTTCTTTCACCCCGGTCGTTCTGACTTCTTTTTGTTTCTATTCTTTGAGTTTGGGTTCAATGTTTCAACGGTGGGAATGATGGTGGTGGTGAGTGGCGTCGGTTGGTCTGTCCTCCTTTTCAGGGCCGAGATTGACAGGTGGTGGTGGGCCGGGCCGGGCCGGCTGGATCAGGGTGGACATCCAAAGCCGAAACGTGGCACTGGTGACCCAGAAACGCATTGAAACTTTGGACCGGGTGTGGGGCCCGACCAGTGGCCATTGGCCGAGTCTTGGCTCAATAATTTGTTCTCGTGGGTGTTAGCTAGCTCATGACTAGGTAATTGTTGAGTGCGCTAAATTAGATTTGCTCGAGAAGAATTTTGCTACCACGCCACGTCCTCAACCGGTGTGCTGTGGACATATTGGTTGACGGGTTCCATAACCATGACTAGTTATGTCATCAATGTAATAACTAAAATAACCATCCGGATATTAAGGATAAGTCTTTATCCTAGTTCTAATAGGATTGTAATTAGTCTTTCCTTCCCTTATATGTATTGTATTCCTGTAACCTTGGCTATGAATAGCCCTCTGCTATGTTAATACAACACACAACATTCATAATTCTTACATGGTATCAGAGCCTGCAATTCTGTCCTATAATTCGTGCCTCGGACATATCGGTGCGCTCCCACATTCAGCGCCTGATCTCCGTCGCTGCAGCTCCCTCCTCACGATGACCACTGAAGACTCTGCCACGTCCGGCACCACTGAAGCTCCGTCCGACGTTGTTGTCCTGCCTGCTCTCGTCACCATCAACCCTGCCGCCAGCCTCCCGCTGAAGCTTATTCCGACTAACTTTCCATCCTGGCGTGCTCAACTTCTGTCCTTGCTCCAAGGGCTTGATTTAGTCGGCTATCTCGATGAAACTGTTGCAGCTCCTCCTGAACGTGTCATTGTCAACGGCATTGAGACACAAAATCCAGCCTACACTCACTGGTTTCGGTAGGATAAACTCCTCCTCGACAACCTCTTTGCTTCCGTCTCCGAAACGGTATGCCCCTTTATTAGTGCTGCCACCTCCTCTGTGGTGGCGTGGTCCACGTTGGTTCGGATGTACGCCAACACCTCCCACTCGCGTGTCATCATCCTTCGAGACCGTCTCCTTACTGAGAAACGTGGTGATCGTGATGTCGCCACCTATGTCTAGTCCAGGCGTCCAGGAAGCTGTCGCAGTTCACAGTCAGACAAGGCAGTTCACGATATCCTAAGGCCATGAACTGGAATCACAAACTGTGAACATCGAGGCGTCCAACGAGGTTCTAGAAGTTACTGACGACAAGGTAGTTCACGGTCACTAAGACCATGAACTGGAGCTATTGCCCGTGAACCCAGAAGTGAAGCGACGTGTTTTGGCGACAACAATGAGTTCACCACGGACGCGCTTAGGTGTTCACGGTCGTGAACTAGCCAACGCGTCCGTGAACTGCTCACTTTCGGGCAAATATGAAGACAACAGCGGGGAGAGAGAAATGGGAGCTGGTTTTTGGAGAAGAAACACTTTCTTTCTCTAGGGTTTCAACCCAAAACACCAAAGGGGAGTTCTAGTGAGAGAGGGAGTGATCTTGGAGTTCAATTGAAGGCATTGATCAAGCTTGGAAGCTAGGAATCAAGCATAGAAGAAGAAGAAGAAGAAGAAGAAGAAGATCTAGAGGTTTCTTTGTAATCTCTCCTCTCTCTGTAGAAACTCACCCTCTTCTCTTGGGTTTAAGAACCCTAGGTCTAGTTTTGGGTTTGTTGTTGATGTATGTGACAAAATCCCTAGTTTGATTGTTGATTTTACTTAATTAATGGATGTTCTCTTGAATGGCATGAGTGTGGTTTTCATTTTCATGCTTTGATATTTTGACCAAGGAGTGGGATAATCCCCTTAGAGCCCCTTCCTTGGTGTCTTCGGGGTCACTCCTATCGTATATTGTCCGGGTAGGCCCCGAGGGAGTTGATTCGACCGTCTCCTAGCAATATACGATATCCTAGGTTGAATAGAGCACTACCCATCCATTGATTCGCCGTTCCGAGTCATTCCCGAGGGAGTCCATCTCCAAGCGGTAGTGTATTTGAGTCGATCGAGCTAGAAGGATACTCAACATCGATTCAATGGTCGGAAATAGGGGGAATTAACTCAAGAGAGCTCCCAACCCTGTAAATAGCTAAGTTAGTGGTTAGCTAGGTTAGTTAGCTTAATTCTTCTAATCACCATCCTAGGTTGGCTAGATAACGAACCTTAAACCTGAAGTAGGGTAAGCCTAGATCCCCGTGGTATGATAAATTCTTATTGCTTGTCTGCCCTATGCTACACCCGGTCGGCGGTTATACTTGGCCGTCGATTGGGATGTTGTCGTTAGAACGAGTCATCAATCCAATCTATTTGTCACCTCTGAAAAAATAGGATGGAACTCACAACACTTGAATTCAACTTATTATTCTTACAATATTGTTGTACGGACTACACTAATAATATATCGAGGCATAATCACATATTTCATCGAGCAAAAAAATTTTGTTTTTATCTAAACAGAACAAGGAGCGCCTCTATAAAAAAAATAGCAAGCACATGGATGAGATAATTTGGGTGAATGGTATCGCTGGACTAGGGCTGGATTTTCGGTTAGATTGGTTATAACCGATAACCGAAATGTCGGTTACCAGTTAACCGCGGCGCTAGCAGTGTCTACCGCCAACCGCCCGACGGAAACCATCGGTTAGCCAGTAACTGACCGGTCGATTACCGGTTAGTTGCTCGGTTAACCGTGGTAACCGCGACGAAGACGACGACACCATCTTGCAAACTCTGCCGCCGCCGTGAGCGGGGGAATCTTCTAACGACGACGACGAAGATAAGGGAGAAGTCTTGAAACCCATCTTCCCGGTCTCGGACGCCAAATACACCCACGGATTGCAGGTCCAAGAGGCCCTAATCGGCTCAATCTCGCTCTACCGCGGCGAAACCCTTGGTCGGCCGCCACGGGAGACGAGGAGGTCGAGAGCCCCGGGAAGCGGATGAAGGTGGACGAAGGCAAATCGTCGCTGCAATTCTGCGAGATTTGCTCGTAGAGGAAGGAGTCGGACCAGATTCTTGTCGTTGCAGCCTGCACCCACGCGTCGGGGAGAGAGATGGTCGATAAGAGGGCTGCCGGCGGAGGGAGATGGTCGGAGGGTCTCGCGATGGAGGAGGGTTGGGCAGGCGGCACCGCGACAGGGAGATGGAGGAGGCGAGGGTCTCGCGATGCTCGATTAGGGTTTAGGCGGAAGACGGGAGGTCGGCGTCGTTCTGTTTGAGTGGAGGGGGTTAGCTTTGCCGGTTAGTCGGTTAACCGGCGGTTATCACCGTCGATTAGCCAGTTAACCGGCAAAGCTAACCCCGCTACCGCCAACCGTCCAAAATTGCAATTTTCGGTTAGTCAGTTAACTGGTAACCGTCGGTTAACCGACAACCAATAACCGAACGGTCAGCCATACGCTGGACCATCATATCAGTAAACTTTTTGACTGGCTTAAGTATGTATTTAGGTACTAGAGTTTCGATGTATCAGTATTACCCAATCTTCATTAGTTTTATTGCGTTTTAAACTCAATCACTTCACTCCTCCTCCGTGGCCGCCGGCCCACCCCACGTGACAGACAGATGATCCCGGTATTTGGATTTGCTGCCGATCTTGCGGCCTGCGGGAGCAGCCTGCGATTATACAAATTAAATCATAATTATAATCCCTAGATTGGATCTTATTTTTTGTTAATTGTCCTTTTCTTTTCTTGGCCAATTCCCTGATGGAGAGGGAATTGGTTAATTAATATCAATTAATGAATGATAAGGAGAGGAGGCCACGAATATACACAAGATTTAAATGACTTGTCGATCGCTCATTAAATTTGGGCTAAGGATTAGGTGGCTAATCACAGCTAACAGCTTGGCACTAGCCCTCTCACACTACCAGCTATTAATTAATTACAGCTTCAATTCTTCTGGTTTCTTGTAAGACTCTTTCTTTCTTCTATCTACTTGCTCCTTTCTTCCTTCCCTTCCCCTTTTCCAGGGATCAGTTAGCGTGACTACCCCTAAAGGGGTAGTGATTTTTGACACCCCCTTTATGATTGGCCAATTTTATTTCCAATCATTGGCAAGTATTAATTAAACTGATTTTTTATTTTTTTTAATCTTGTAATTTGGGGTCTCTCACCACATTGGAAAAGAGAAAGAATCTGGGGAAAAACGAAATCACCCCCATTAATTACATAATTAATTTCTCTCACTGGTACATTAATTACACGTACCACTCCACTGGTACACGTACCACTCCACTGGTACACGTACCACTCCACTGGTACACGTACCACTCCAATGGTACACGTACCACTCCACTGGTGCGAGCAATCCACAAGGTAGGTTAGAGTGAGAACAATACCAGTGCAATGATATTTTTCATAACAATGATAAACAATAATAGGGAAAAAATAGGAACTTTCCATTAGTAGCCAAAAATTGTGTTCCAAAATGGGTTGCAAAATTAGGGAAATGCCAACAACAATGCCAAAAGCAATAAATTATCCTTCGAATGTGAATAAACATAAAGTCTTCACAATTTTTTAAGCCTAAACAGGACATATGGTTACACGTACCACTCCACTGGTACATGTACCAGTGGAGTGGTACGTGTACCAGTGGAGTGGTACGTGTACCAGTGGAGTGGTACGTGTACCAGTGGAGTGGTACGTGTACCAGTGGAGTGGTACGTGTACCAGTGGAGTGGTACGTGTACCAGTGGAGTGGTACGTGTACCAGTGGAGTGGTACGTGTACCAGTGGAGCGGTACGTGTAATTAATGTACCAGTGAGAGAAATTAATTATGTAATTAATGGGGGTGATTTCGTTTTTCCCCAGATCCTTCCCCATTCATAATTACCAAAGTTTTTCTCCTTCCCCATTCATAATTATTATCACAATTAAGGCTTTCCCAATTTACAAGATTACAATAAATAAAGTAAAAAACTTAAATGGAAAAGTGACCAATCAAGAGGAGGGTGTCAAAAACCACTACCCCTTTAGGGGTTAGCATAGTATCCGACCCCCCTTTTCCATGTATTTTTTATGAATCCTTTTCCATATTGGACCGTTTCTTAAATTAGATAAAATAGAAAGTTAGCTATATTTATGGACCCTAAGATGGATAACTCATAATAATTAAGTATTGATTGGTCAACTGTCACGCTTTAATATCTCACAGTCTTGTTGTTTAGCTGATTGTTCTCCTTCTTCTTCCAATTAAGCTGAGTTTACCCAAAAGTAAAGAAAGAAAGAAGAATTTGAATCCTTTGAGAGTCTTCACGCTTAAATAAATTTGTTTGGTACCCTAAAATATTTTGTTTGTAGCAATTGAGATGGATCAAATGCAATTCTTCAAAAGAAAGGTAATGTTTTAGGAACTCATAACATTTAAGTAGTCAATCATGCTACTACCACAGCAATGCTATTATCGTCATCATATTGCTAAACTACAAGTTTATTGGTCGGACGACCATGCAAACTTTATCAAGTGAACACTCTTGAGTCTTGACCAAAAAGAGTGTTACCACTTACCACCCAAAAGAAAATTTAAACGACAAGGGCATCACTTTCATCTTGTTTCCCAGGCCCAATCCAGTACCCATTTTAGGGCCAGTTGACAATTGGGCTCTTAAATGATTGGGCCTCACCGCCAACGAACAACGGTGGCGCGCTGCTACCGCTTTTATCTCCTCAAAACAATCCCACCCAGCGCGGCACAAAACAAAAGATCCTCCTGACGCGACTAGTCTTCTCCATTACTTTTACTTACACTGAACCTCCATATCTATCACTGATGAAGATAACTCAACGGCCTTGAAAGCTCCCCGCCATCTCTCTCCGAGCCGGTAACCGTCGGAGAAGAAGAAGAAGAAGAGCGAACGGAAGCCAGTCCCACAAAACGGCGGCGTAGTTTCTTGAAACTTGCGTAGTATACAGGCAGATTGAGCCAGCAGGAGCAGTAATGACCACGGTTTCGCTATCTAAACCACCGCCGTGCCTCTACAGCCACTCGAACCCTATCCGGCTGTTTTCGCCGCCGGTGATTCTGTCTTTCTCATTTCACCGCACGATTCCCAGGGTTTGTTGCGCGCTGAAGACGGAATCGGAAGGGTCGAATTTGTTGAGGAAGCCAGTTTCCCCTACGGCGAGGGAATTGGGCGGAATTTCGGACCAAGAGGATGACGACGCCGTTGAGGCGAAGTACAGGAAGGAAAGCGATGAAGAAAGCGTGGGGGAGGAGGAGGAAGACGATTGGGTGGATTGGGAGGACCAGATTTTGGAGGACACGGTTCCGCTTGTTGGGTTCGTGCGAATGATCCTGCATTCTGGCAAGTAAGTGCTCTCTTAAGCTTCCAACTCTTTGATAGTCTAATTAGAAGTTGGTTCTTTGAGTGAATGGAATTTGTTTGAGTTGTGCAGATATGAAATTGGGGAAAGGTTAAGTCCGGATCATGAGAGGACTATTGTGGATAGGTTGCTTCCGTATCATCCTGAATGTGAGAAGAAGATTGGGTCTGGGATTGATTATATCACGGTATGATTCTTGCCGTTTTATTCTAAGTTGGTTTAGTTGGGTTGTCATTTAAGGGAAGATGGGTATATTCACCTGGAACTTGCTGGGTTGCTTTGTTTTTATGGAAATGGTGGTAGTTATAGTGTTCACGGCTATGAAATAATGCTAATTGACAGGTCTTTAACGATTCAGCAGCACTGTGTCTGTCATTATACTTGACTCCCTGATTTGTTTCCGCGTGAGAAATTTGTGCAAATCAGGGCTGTAGCGTAGTTGAGGCAATAAGGTTCTAATACCTCTACCTCATTCGTTCCTGACTTCAGCGAAAATATATATCGGTTAGAGAGTTCTGCATTTGGCTCACTGTGATTCACATCTGTCATAGGGTTGTATCAAGGTCATTCAGTTGAGAGCCAGACAATGTTGAATTTACCCTGGATCTATATGGACCTTGGATGGCTTATCATATGCTTGATCTCTTGATGGATCACCACATTCTGTTCTTATACCAATAAAATGTCACACCAATGAGCCTTCACCACTCGAATTTGCTGGTCCTTTTTACTTATATGTTCTTGGAGCTCCTTGTGCCAAGCTGTTATGGATGGTTTATTCTCTTACTGTTAGTGTATAGCATTAATGCGTTTCACTGCCTTGTAATTTATTGAACGTACCAAGAACCTGAAGTAATTTCTCGCAAGAGGCACTTCTTCCGCAGATGCTTCCATGTTTGTTAGAAACATGTGCAGGGTTCATGCAATCATCTGCAGCTAAACAATGTTGTTTGTGAAGTGTGGAATTACTTGGTTAAGCGTATGGCATCCCATCTTATACCGTAGGCGAGGCTTGTGGTTTCTGCATTCAGTGGTAGAAATGAAATGATACAAGCAGAGTAATGTTTCATCCTTGCATTTTTACAGGTCGGGTATCATCCAGATTTCACAAGCTCTCGGTGTCTGTTCATAATCCGCAAAGACGGACAGTCAGTTGACTTCTCGTACTGGAAATGCATAAAGGGCCTGATCAGGAAAAACTACCCACTCTATGCCGACACTTTCATCCTCAGGCACTTCCGACGACGGAGGCGGAATTGATCCGATCTCACGAGCTAGTTTGAGCAGAGAGACCCGACCTCCCTGTATAATCAGAATCTGCTGAAAGATTTGTGTTGTTCATTTTTCTTTGCTTTATAAATATGTATGATTTTGTATCTGAAATTGGTTAGGAACTGAAGTTTTGATTAGAGTGGCAATTCTCAATCCAATCCACTAATCCAATCTACCAACTCATTAAAATATCCAGCTAATCCATTTAAATCCAATAATCCAAATTCATTTGGATTGGTGGATTCATTGATTGATCCATGGATCCAAATGATAAATTATGGTTTGGTACCTACACTTTTTTATATTTTACATATTCGTATCCAAAATTTAATTTTTTATAAGAAAAATATCATTGGAAAATTATGTTTTGGTACCTAAAATTTTTCATTATGTCATTTTAGTACCTAAAATCTTCATATTTACATATTGGTCCTTGGTTGAGGATGTCATTTGGATTCATGGATAATCCACCAATCCACTTGATTCAATCCATGAATCCACCAATCCAATCCACCAATTCATGGATTAATTCATTTGCCACCTTTAGTTTTGATTATCGAAAAGGGATCTATGCCTCTATCAAGTCTTGGTCTCTTGGAGAGGCTCCAGCTTCCAGGTGTAAATTGAATTCATTTGTCTCTGAAGCGGATTGGGCGCCGGGCCGACATCCGAATTGGATTCGTATGTTCTTGTAGTTTTAGACGCCAATTTCTTTGGTTTCAGGCTTTCAGCCCAATTTTGAGGAAAACGGCCCGTGAAATTCAGAAAGGTAATTGCCGACTATGCTATGAATTGGGTTAAAGGATTTGGGCTGACAGTTTTCTGTTTCACGCATCAGCAGTACGTCAAATTGGCTCGCATGAGGGAGGGTAGTCTAGAGAGAGAGAGACCAGTGAGTTTTTGGACTTTAGTGTGTCTTCATAACGAAGTTGACAAAATAAGCCAGCCAATCCTTATCATCGGAACAAATCTCAAAATACAAGAGTCTTGAGTAAAAAAATTCTCACAATATCATACTTTGCAAAATATTTTCCAAGATACTAAAGTTTGGAGTAGTTTATTCTAGTGTCAAGCAAACCAGATAGTGTTTCACTTGATACATAAGTGATTCGCACTCGAAATGTTCGGATTACGACAAAGATAAGAGAACAAACTCTCAACACAACACATATTATGGCAAACATCAGCAGCGAACAACACCTGACCGTTGATGACCCCTGTGATCTACACCTAACCTAGTTCGAAACTTGAAACGGTAATAACGTTGTGCTCCGTTATTCGATTATAACAAAACGCAACGTTTACGACCATTTTAAGTTTTGACCTAAGTTAAATGTGGATAGCGCGGGTTTTCTAGCCATTTTGGAGGGCTTGATCGTTGTACCTTAAAGTGATATGTGCTCTTCACGCACGGTCATGTTGAGCGATCCACCGCAATTTGAAGTTGTTTGCTTCTTTTAGCTGCGATTCATAAGCAATTATTTCAGAATTTTTGTAGTATTGTTTTGTAGTGGTGACTGACTGGCTGACTGGTGGGTGAACCCTATTGGCAAACAGAAACCATGGTCCATGGTGGTGGTGAGCTGAATAAGTAGTTGGAGTTGAGTGAGTGGCCGTAGAAAGTAGAAACGGACGTTAGCAAATGCTCCAACTCCACCACGTTAGCAAATGCCAGCCAAGTGTCCCATAATGATTCGGTTGACGGCCGACAAATAAATTGCAGAAACAGTTAATTATTATATATCAACGCAGGCTTGGTTGGTTCCCTTTTTTTTTCTGTTTTAAGGCATGTTTGTTTTTTTGCCATTTAAGGCTATGTTGCTTCGTCGGACACGTATAACAGCAACCCACTACTAGCAACGATGATGATTTTAGAAGTGAGAACACTCAAAACATTGGTAGTGACCTGTTTACACCTAAAAATAATTTTGCCTTCAATATCGCCCTTCAATATCGCCGGCGTCGCGAGATTAGTGACGCCGGTGATAAACAATTTCGGCGGTGTTGACAGCTAAAATTATTTTAGATCGAATTAAATGCCGTAATAATGAGTCTCGGCATTTAATTCGATGTCGCATGATAAAAAACGACATCGTTGAGAGACAAGCGGCATCGGAGGATTAAAACGGTACCGCGGATCTAAAAACGGTACCGCGAGTAGGCCCAACGATGCCGCGAATAAAAAAAAAAGTACATCAAGGAAGCTCACCGGTACCGCGGCACTGGAAACGACACTGTTTACCAGGAAACAGGATGGGGGCCGCGCGCAGTATTAATGTTGGAAAAAGAGTTATTATTATTTTTATTCCTTGTCGGAAGGGGAGAAGCGGTACCGCATGGAGACAAGCGGCATCGCGGAGAATTAAAACAGTACCGCGAATGTAAAAACGATGTCGCGGGAGGCCTTGATAAGCGGTGCCGATTAAATAAAAAAAAAAATCATACCGGGTAAGTGAAGGGCCTAAATCCCGCCCAGCCCAATGCGAGTGCCAATTCTCGGCGGTTCAATGAATTGGAATTTTTTGGCTATGTTAGCGGTGTCGTTTAATTAAAAACGGTACCGCGAGTAAGCCCAACGGTACCGCTGTATTAGAAAACGACAATGTTTAATATAAAACAATGTCGTGGAGTAAAAAAGCAAACAGAGCTGTTTGGGGAAGAAAACGACATCGCGTGAGATTCACACCAACCCGAGCGAGGAGGAGATCAAGACGGTTGAGACACGTGGGAGTTCACATCGGAGCAGTTGAGGAAGCGGTTCCACCTAGCGTGAAGACTACGAAGCGGTTTTTCGAATAAAAGCAGTGCAGCAAGGAGAGAGAAAGGGACAACCAAAAAATCAACACAGATCAACTCTGTCAAACTTATCCTTTTTCTCTGTAACTCCCTCGCGGAGCTCTCCTTCCAGGAAGGATCTCCATAGTTGGTAGAAGTAGTCGTAGTCGCGGAGCTCTCCACAGGAATCTCCATAGGAGTAGCGGTAGCGTAGATTCCTCAAAACTCAAACACCCTCGTTCGAACGTAGTTTGGAGAGGTGCGAAGCGTAGTAACGGTCGTTCTTGATTAGAAGTCAGAGTTGCACCGATCAAATCAACGAAGCCGACATTCGGCGGCGGATATTTGACGGTCACGTCGATTTCAACATTCAGCGGTGCATCCGATCAGCGGCACCGCAAGAGTTTCCACCGCGAAACATCAAATCAACATCGCCGGGAACGAATTCGGCACTGGCGGTGGCATTTGGTTTTCCCGAGGAAACATTTTGGCACGCCCGGTGGGATACGTGTGTTTGATATGGCTCTGCGACGAGGAAAAGAAGATGGTGGTCTTCCACAACGATCCGGGAATGAGGATCAGATGGTCAACATCGAGATTGACGACGTTGTAGGCGATTCAATCAACAATGATGGAGCGGAGGTGCAATCAGTGGTGCAAATCGCCAATCAGGGTGAGATGCAGCGCATGCTCCGCCAAGTAGTGGCTAAACTCAGCAGAGATAGCCAACAGGTAAATCTCATTTTAACTTCTCTTGATAAAAAAATTGATAATCTTGAAAAAAATATAGATCAATGGTTTGATAAGTTGGACGACTCTGTTTCTGATTTTACTATGTCAATACGTGGAGCCACGTATGATTTTGATGTGTTTAAATCTCGAACCATGTCTGTTGTGTGTGAGGATGCGATGGTTGGTCGAATAGCTAATGTCAACCAAACTCCATCATCGATGGCTACAACATTGTTGCCACAAGTGAGTGAATCCAATGTGTTCTTTCCTGTGAACAACGTTGTTCTTAAGGACACACCAGTTGGAAGTGGCTTGAAGAAGCCACTACAAAGAAGTCAATATCGGCTTACTTCTAGTAAGATTGAAAACAAGAACCAGGGTCGAGAACCTGGTTACAATCACGTTGAGCATAGCAAGTTCGCGTATGATGGGTTGTCCAAGCAACATCGCAATAGTGTTCAATCCAAACCGCGAGGGGGGCATGAGATCCCACTGCATGGAAGATTGAAGGAGAAACAACATTGTGGGTGGCAAAGAAATTCGCCACACCCACCCTGCTCTAGGAAAATTCAAACAAGGGTTGCCACAAACACTCTTCAGTGTGGAGGTGGTGACCACGTGAAAAACCCCAAGGCCACGAAAGTTGGTGTAACTTACCTAGCTCCTTCGGGTAAGTTTGCCCCAAAGCTGCCGCCGAGTGTGGTGGGGGGCAAGTTCAATCAAACTCGACATGGAGTTGCCACGCCAATGCTGGCTAGGAATAATTTTTCCATGATGTTGGGGCAGGGGGGCAAGCTAAATGCCCGAAAACTTTCAATCTCACGTGAAAATTCAAAAGATACCAAGTGGTTCTGTGATAAGTGCATTAATCAAAATAACCACATGACTGTTGGTGAAGCTTGTAAGCCTCAAACTCAACAACGTCGTAATTGTGTGCAGCTCACAAAACAAAACCAGTCTGGGCAAGCGATGCCACATGGTCGATTTGACAGGACAAAGACGTTAGAAAACTTCAATGTCCCGCCAAGAGTAAAAAACACCGGTGATTTTCTCTGCCACGACCCTGTGGCTAAGATGAAGCCAAATCGAGCTCGTGGAATTTCAAACCAAGGTGTTCGAGCTCGACAAACTGGAGAGCTACAAACCACCAATGATTCCAAAACATCAAAACCAACGCGTGTGAAGCCAGCTGTGATGAATCTTGGACTTTACGGATGGCTTGTTTGGTTTGATCCATGGAGTTGGCAGTGGGTGTGGACTTTTGGCATAATGATTTATGCCAAAGTCTAGCCGCTATTTATTTACTTAGATATTATTAAGTAAATAGAGTGTGGCTAATTTAGGCCACGAGAAAATTACTATATATATAAAAAGTAGTATGGCGAAGCTTGCCGCATCGTTGCGAGCAATATTAAATTTTCAGAATGGGTCGCTTTGGTTTAAAAAAAAAATGCGGCCTGGTTAAAAAAAAATTATTAATTAGCGGCTTTGAGGGAAGGATTATAAATAGAAATAAAAAGTGGACACAAACATAAATCCAACAATTTCAATTAAAACTTGAGATTGCATAATTCATTATTTTTGTTGGTTGATTGTGGGACCTACACCAAACAATCTATGCATTATTTTCCTATTTGCCACTTCCAAATATTGTATTGCGCACAAGGTTCTAAAAGGCGTTAGGCATAAGGGAGGCGCTGGGTTCTTGACTTGCGCCTTGCCCGATTAGGCATTTAGAGCATAAATGGAAAAATTCTCAAATATTTCTTATTTTCTGGAATAATTCATATAATCCAAGTGCATATAAAATTAGCAATGC